ACGTCGGGTCCCCCCCCAAGCTCCGTGTCGAGATGTGATTCGCATTGGCGAAATGACATTGCGTGTGACATTTGAGGCCTCAAATGTCACATTTAGGGTTGGGTTGACTGGAAACTCTTTTTCTTTCATCATAATTTCATTCACCACTAGGTGTCCCTAGCGTACTTATTTGGAGCTTTGAGGTCAAACCATTTTGGTGGTTCATTCGGCTGAGAGACTTTGACGTTCCATGAGGCATCATCCCACCATCACTGCCTGAACCCATGCAGTGAATTCCAGTGCAGAATCAGGCCTGTTTTTTATGCAGTGCTGCCTCATGGCCCAAAGATCGCAAGCATGCAATATTGACCTTCAGCCTTGTCCCTTGCAAAGATTTCTCCAGATTCTCTGAATCTTTTGAGGATGTTATGTACTGTAGATGGGTGGGATATTCAAAGTCTTAGCAACTTTACATCAAAAAGCATTTTTCTGAAATTGTTCCCTAATTCTTAGATGCAGTTTTTCGCAGATTGGTGGACCTCTGCCTCTCTTTACTTCGGAGAGACTCTGCCTTTCCAAAATACTCTTTTTACACCCAGTCATGTTACTGACCTGTTGCAATTTAATCTAATGAATTGCAAAATGCTTCTCCAGTTATTTATTATTAGTACCACTTACTTTTCCAGCCTTTTGTTGCCCCTGTCCCAACTTTTTTTTTTAAATGTGTTTGTAACAATACAGTCCATGAACCAGATGCAAGCAGTAGTGAAATTGAAATCCTTTAAGTCCGAGGTCAAGCCAGAGATCATAAAAGTACTGTTGCACAAAACACAATCCAAAAAATCAGGGTCTTGGGACAGGCAGGGTTCAGCAACAAAGGATCAGATAGGCAATGGTACATGAACGGTGGGCAAACATTAGAGTAGATGAGACAAGCCAAAATCCAAAAAGCCAGGGCAGCAAAACCAAGAATTGAAGTCAGACAGGTGAGGTCAAAACCAGAACAATAAACAGATAATCCAAAGGGCACAGGCAGAAATCGGAAGTCAGGCAAAGGGTGTCTCAAATCTCTCAAATAAACTGGCGTACAGGTCTCTCGGCACAGAATAAATGATCAACGTTCTGACACTGACCGAACAGAAACGCAGGGCTTAAATGCACTAAACAGAGGTCACATGCTACGGGGAAACAGGTGGTGGGAGTGACAGATAACGAGCAATGTAGGTGAGCACATGAGGGAGCCCTAATACAATAATTGGCAAAAGCCAAGACGCGGACTGGGCACACATAGACAACCTATGACAGATGAACTGCTCCGGTCAAGGAGTTCTACGTGCACAGATCAAGGAGTGCAGCATAGCAGTTAAGCACGTGCAAAAGATTTCGCGGAAGCACAGGGAGATACAGGGAAAGCAAAGCAAGGGGCGGAGACTAGAACAGGGCGAGTGCTGAGATTGCGTTAGTAGTAGCCTAATTAGTAGCGGTGCAACTTTACAAATTAACCCAAGAGCTCGTATGTTAGTAAGTAGTATGTACACGGGTTAGTTAAGTTAGTAACTATAATACAAAATATAAATGTTAGTATTATTAGTAATCAAGGAAAGCAGAGCGAAGCAAGTAAACGAGAATTGAAGTAATAATGTGAAACACCAAAAACCACTGAAAATCACCCGAAGCATGTAGGCACGCAGACTGGGGAGACGGAACGTACCACACTGATCACAAGACTCAGGTAAACACTGGTGCACAGAACAGAAAAATAAACAAATGGCAAAAACAGAAACTGGGATGAAGACTGATGATGAAAAATACGTGATACTGAAAAATAACAAAAACAGGTAACAGACACGGGCAGAATCATAACAGTGTTGCTGCCATCAATTTCAAAATGAGCGAATATTTTTCATGAAATGGTAAAATGTATCACTTTCAACATCTGATATGTTGTCTGTGTCCTATTGTGAATAAAATATGGGTTTATGAGATTTGCAAATCATTGTATTCTGTTTTTATTCACGTTTTACACAACATCCCAACTTCATTGGAATTGGGGTTTGTAGATGGAAAAACTACACAAGCACTCAAATGATGAGCAAAGCAACCTAAGACCAGACCAGATTTCATGCAATATATCAACACTGCAAAAACTGTACTGAATGTGTGCTTCTGTTTTTTCTAAACATATTCTGGATTAATACTTACACATTAATTGATATTTCTGTCACAACCTGGCTTAAGAGAGTAAATCACTACGCAAAACAGAATGCACCTAATTAAGACAAACTAACCCCTTAAACTCTAATTTTTTGCTCACGTTTTCCCTAATGTGGGCTCAAAGTCAGAGAAAGCATCTTTTTCCATATTGTAGGACAATGTCACATGCATATTCTCTAGGCCTATCTGCTGGTTGCAGTGCTTCACTGAAGCTGCATCACACTTATATCAAAATTTTCAAACCCCAGATGCCATGGTTTTCTGGCCACAGCAAGATGGAAAATATCTAAATATTGCGCATCATTTTATTCACATTTGCCTATAATTCAGGTGGACATATTGGGTATCATTGGAAACCTTGGAATCTCAACAATAAAATAAAAAGCCTGAAGTTCCACGAGTTTGAATACAGCAGCTGCATTTGATAGATCCATATATGGGTTCATAGGTCTATGGCAGGGCTGTTCAACAGTGTCCAGAAAGGGCCGGTGTGGGTGCAGGCTTTCATTCCAACCCAGCACTTACACACCTGACACCACTAATCAACCCTAAGAGTCTTTGCTTATGAGCTTGATTAGTAGTATCTGGTGTGTAAGTGTTTGGTTGGAGTGAAAGCCTGCACCCACACCGGCCCTTGCAGGATAATGTTGAATAGCCCTGGTCTATGGGGTCAACAGCTTGTTAAAATCTGACAATTGCAACTGTGGTAAGAACAAAAACAAGCATAAATGGAAGAACAGTGAGAAGCGTACAAAGGGACAACGGTGAGAACCGGTGTCTTTCAGCGATGCATTCACAGTTATTTTCATGATTCGCTAGGCTTGTTCTGCTTCTTTGGCTCATCTTAAAAGCCAGGCATTTCCTCTTCCTGCAGTATTGATATCATAACTCGCAAATTTCCCAAATTCACTGAGCTTGTTATGCTTCTTTGGTTCGTGTAGAAAAGCAAGGCATTTCCTTTTCCGGCCGCAATGACCTTTTAACTCGTGCATTTGCCGAGGCATTTATGTATGAGCCAGCAGAAATATACTGCTCAAAGAATTAAGGGAACACTTAAATCACATATCAGACCTTGATGAACGAATTATTCAAGTTGAAAATCTGAACTCAAGTACATTATATAATTTGTTTTGAAAAAAATTATGTAACAACGGTTGATAGAAACCAAAATCGTCAACTCACTGAGGGCTGGATTCAAAATCACCTAGAAAACGAAAGTAAATAATTGAAATCATAAGCCTGTCCCACTTGCATTAATTTTATCACAGCGACAGTCGTGTGGTTAAGCTTTTAAAGACAGAGATGGCAAATCCAACCAAAGCTGAACTGATGGAAAAATGAGATGAAGGGTTAGGGGTTTGGGGGGAGGGTTTGCTTTAAACTATATGATGCATTGGGATGAGACTGAGCTCCTCCAATATATGCCACCAGAAACCAACTGAATTTAGTTTTATTCTATCAGGTTTTGATTGGCAGCCACTTAAAGGTCAACCCATTTTTGCCATCGCAACTGGAGTTCCACCATCGATCATTCAGCAAGGTCCTGGACAGCAGTCAGGGGAGGAAAACATTTGAGACTGCTTGGGACATCCGTCCATTTAAGTATATTAAGGTTCCAATCAGGCTGCTAGGATAAGTCTTCAGATCTGCAGTGAACGTAACAACTCTGAGCTCTATCATTTCTATATTATATCCCACAATAGCAGGCCTAGTTACAGTTCTATTGTATATTCCTGCATTTCTGTTTATTCTCTTCACCACAGTTTGACTGTCTGTGTTAGTTTTGGTTTAGTCATTTTGTTAATTGTTTTCAATCATTCTATTATTTTCTCATGACTCCCTATCTCAGTGTACTCACCCCACACTTTTCTCTCACCTGTTTCCTATTGTTACTTGTTTTCTCGGAACATTTAAGTTCCTGTTGTAAGTTTCCCCTTTGCCAGATTGTTTGACCTGTCTTTGCGTATTTTTCTCCTTCCTCGCCGTTCATTCTTGTTCCCTGAATTCTCCTCATGCCTGCTTCTGTCTGTCTCCTGCCTGTGCCCTTAAGGAACAAAAATATATTGATATATATTGAAAAATATAATGTAATATATTGTAAAATACATTTGAACATATGGAAAGGGGCAACATATATTCGATAATACATGTCAATATATTATCCTTTTTTTGCTTCAAGCATATATTACAAAATACTGTATAATGAATGCACATCATACATATCTTAAACTTCGGACATATTAAACATTTGGACAGGAATTTATCAGGTGATAAATGAAGATTTTATTTTTTTATCTACCCTTATTTAACCAGGGAAGTCCCGCTGAGATTGAAATCTCTTTTTCAAGGGAGCCCTGGGGGTTGAGGTCAATTTGCACAGCCAATTAGATCAGGGGATGATTAGGTGGCAGGTCAAAAGAACCAGGTTGGGACTTTAGCTATGACACCGGGGAACCCCCTTCTCTTATCGATAAATGTCATAGGATCTTTAGTGACCACAGTGAGTTAGGACCTTGGTTTAACGTCTCATCCGAAAGACAGCGTCTCCGTCACTGCACTGGGGATTATTCCACCAGAGAGAAGTTCGCAACCTACTGGCCACCAACACCTCCTCCAGCAGCAACTTGGTTTTCCCAGGTGGTCTCCCATCCAAGTACTGGCCAAGCCCACACCTGCTTAGCTTCAGCCACACAGCTGGAGCAGATCAAATTGTGGTATGGCTGCTAGCGTGTAAAGATAAAAAGATAAATAAAGAGAAATGCTAATGCAGACTTCACATAATAAAAGCATATCATCAAAACAGTTGTTTTTCAGTGGCGCAGTGGTTAGCGTTGCCGTCTCACAGCCAGAAGGTTGTGGGTTTGAATCCGGCCTGGGGACCTTCTGTGTGGAGTTTGCATGTTCTCCCCGTGTTTGTGTGGGTTTCCTCCGGGTACTCCGGTTTCTTCCCACAGTCCAAAGACATGCACATCAGGCTAATTGGAGACGCTAAAGTGTCCATAGGTCTGACTGTGGGAGTTAATGGTGTGTGAATAGTATGTGCCCCCAGCGATGGATTGGCGAGCTGTTCCAGGGTGGGTCCCTGCCTTTCGCCCGTAGTCAGCTGGGATGGGCTCCAGCTCCTCCTGCAACCCTAATGAGTAAGAAGTGGGTATAGAGAATGGATAGATGATCTCATTATTTTAATTAATATATTGGCAATGTAAACCAATTATGCATTTAAAAATGTATTACTTCCAATACATTTCTGCGTATATGCATAGTTATAGGATATATATTCTAATATATTTTGTAATATATAGAAAACGGCAATAATTTGTATATTAATCAATATATAGAGAATATATTATATATTATATTTAGAAATGTATTTAGTGATAAATTTCAATACATAAGACAATAACACTCATTCAAAATGTAAACCCGTTTTAACGTGTCAAATTATTACTCTAATATTTAATTATAAGTTAAAACATTGCAATTTTGCTGGTAAATTGACAAAAAAAAAAAGTAAAAAATGGAATATTAATATATTGGGTCTACGTATATGAAAAATATATTTTTGTTCCGTAAAGGTGATTACCCGTGTCCTATGTCATTGCGTGCCCCAGCCCTAGAATTCCTCACCTCTGTGTGCCCATTCCCTCACTGAGGGGTCTCCTGGCTTGGACCTTGGACCATTCCCACTACCACCATTTGCCTGCTCCCCTGTATGCTGTTCGCTACTGCCCAACCCCTGCCCTTCGATGGACTCTGCCAGTTCTCAACCTCAGACTGTTCGCCTGCTCAGTAAAGTCAAGTGTTTTCTTATACCGGAGTCTGCATTTGGCTCCCTCTGTTTGCCCTGCCATTACAGGTATAGGCCTGTTATTATTGATGCTGAAATGCAAAAATGTTGCAAATGAAGTGAGACAAGGTTAGCCAATGGAGCCAGGAAATTTCACTTGTAAAGATGCACAAGCTAGCAAATTAATTTACATATACCAAAAAGTTATCACTTGATAGAGACAAAAATAAGACTGAAAGTCTCTTATGCATACATTGTCTTTTAAGATGTTGTAAAAAAATTGCATTGCCCTGAGGACCAACAGTAGTTGCCCTGATTTGGAAGGGCATGCATTAGGTAAGAGCCACAATGGTGCACACACACTCACTGCATAAGCAAGTTTGCACCTGTACGTTCTGCAACTTATGACACGTGCCACGATGCCTGGGTCTCAGTTTGTTAACTGTGCTGCTGTTTTTTTTTTTACTTTTCTGGTTTCTTTCAGTTGGCTACGGTTCGTTCTAGCTGTACAATTTTCACTTTGTGTTTCTTTTGTCACTCGATCTATTAGCACTTTAACTTGTCTCCTTGGAGCTCAGCACTTTTGCATCCAACTTTTGCACTTTGTATGTTGCTCTGGAGAAGAGCATCAGCTAAGTACATGTAATGTAATGTACTGAACTGTAAATGTCAGTTGCGGTTTTTGACAACAGTAAACAGGAAGTGCTTCCTTTCTGAGTTTTCTTGCGTCAGTGTTCTGCAGCTCAGTTGGTGCCAAATGCCATTACTCACAGTACAATCTGCAGTCAGATGTTACATCAGCACCGGAATATTCAATTAAAATGCTCTAATCACATTTTTTGAGATCCTGCATCTCTCGATATAATCAAAACAGAAGAATCGCTATGGGCAGCTGTACATCAAGCCGCAGAGAAGGTGAGAACGCTTCTAACTTCCTGTCTTTCTTTTAGTTTTGCCTGTTACTTCTCTAGATAATGGGCGCATATGCCTTGAAAAGAGGACTTTATGCCAGGACATATCATGATGAAACTAGTTTCCCTTACAAATGAAATTATTTAGGGAAGGTGTCTGGTACCTTGTTTTTAGGAAAGTTGGGACGTTGTGTAAAATGTGTATGAGAAGAGACTGCAATGATTGACAAATCAAATAAACTCTAAAATAAATTGAAAATAGCACAGACAACACGTCAGTTTTTTTTTTTTTGAAATTTTCCTTTATTGATAGTTATACAGTGTAGAGAGACAGGAAGGTTGGGGAGAAGAATGGGGGTAGACATGCAGCAAATGACGCAAGTCGGAGTCGAGCACAGGTTGCTGCAGGAAGGACACGGCCTTTATGGTGCGCGCGCTTAGACCGACGAGCCACCGGGGCGCCCCACAACATGTCAGTTTTGAAAAGTTTTGAAAGCAAATGTTTTCTCATTCTTGCTCGATCTTAGATTTCAGCTTCTCAGCACTTTTGCGCTTTTGACTCTTGTCACGTTTGTGCTCCAAATTTTTCACCAACATGAGACAATAGTAGAACTGGTGAATTCTGGGAAATGAAGTCCATCATACAGGGAGCTTTGCACTGTTCACATACACATTCAACCACTTCCTAAAATTAGGAGGCTAAAATTGCTGTTTGATGGTCTTAGTTAGCTGCATAGTAAGGCAGTAAAATGCACTGGATGTAATCAAGTTTGCAATATAACATTTTCTGCATTGCTTTCTTTTCATCCAACCTCAGAAAGCAGGTCACCTTAGCTTATCAGTTAGCTAGCAAGCCTCTGGTGGATAGAAATGAATGGAGACCAGTGAATGGCAATTATTTTGCTACATCAGCCAGAAATTATTCAGCTGGCTAGGTAGGTAGCTTATTACCTAAGTCAGTGATGCCATGGAAGGGTTTATTAATTGGCCTCCTAGTTTGTTGGCTACTTAGTTTGAATGCTTGCCAACCCTGGCTACAGATACTTGGCAAAGGCCACTTAGCCACAACATTTCTGAGGTTGGGTAAAAAAAAAAAAAAAAAAAACATTTAATGTTACATTGCAAGCTTGATTAGTTACATCCACTGCGTCTCTCTACCAGGCTAACATGTGCCCAAGATGTGCATTGATATTTCAGAATTCATTTATGCCTTTCCTATTGTATCAAGTAACGAACACCATCGCATGGAGCTGTTTGCAAGGAAGTGGTGAAATGCGTACATTAGCTGCTGTCTGACAGTAGCCAATGGGTTAGAAAATGGGATGTTTTATTTACCTTGAAATGTGGTCTAATACCTCTCTGAATTTTCACGATCCATCGACTTTTCACATGCGGATCAATTGAGAAGCGGTGAAATGATCATGATTTCCTACATTTATGCAGGAAGCGGCGAAATGATAACCATTTGTCAGATTCCCTAGTTTATATGTCTTGAACAAAGCAGTACTTTTAATGAGTCTTTGAGCTCCCCATCTTGAGCGTGACCTCAGAGGAAATTTGCACTTTGTGAAATTTGTGAATGTAGTGAATGAACTATTAAAAGATCACAGATGATACTCATTATGGTGACTTTTTAGACTCCAGGTCAACATGCTAATTTTATTTATTTTTTTGTTCTCTCCTAACAGATGAAACTGGATTACTGAAACCTGATGGTAAGTATTCACTTATGCGTTTCTCTAACTGTCTTGTGAAGGCCTTGAGATTATTATTCTGGGCTCTACGTGAAAAATGTAATGATGTACTGTATGTATTTGAAGTTATACTTACAATGTTTGGCAACATTATTGATCCCTTTCTTTCTCTGTCCAATCTATCAAAGAGAAATCATTAAATGTGGTTCTTCTGGGGAGTCGCAGAGTCGAGAAGATTGCAGTGGGAAATGCCATTCTGGGCAGAAAAGCTTTTGGATTTTGGAGTCGACTCTCTTCAGGGTGTGTGAAGAAACAGAATAAAAGCAAAAACGGGTTAATCACAGTGATACTCACACCAAGCTGGACTGGCTTAGCCCACACCACTGCAGAATTCAAGAGAAAGGAGATTGAGAAGAGTATATATCGTGGCTCTGATGGGCTCACCGCTTTTGCGTTGGTCATCTCAATGGACGGGCCGTTCAAAATGGGAGATAGGGCCGCAGTGCTAGAGCACATGGACCTGTTCAAGATTCCAGTGTGGAAACACACTCTTCTTCTCTTAATCACACACAAAACAGGCCAGCAGAACACAAGGATTCTTGAGCGCTCAGATCTCCAATGGCTTGTGAAGCAATGTAAGAACGAAACTGCTTTGTTCAATAAGAAAGAGATCGCAAAATTAATTGATAAATTAGCTGGTTTAGCGATACAGTATGATTGCATTAACCATCGTTTTGAAGAGAGAAGGCAAAAAGGAGATGGAGAATCGCAAACGGAGAATGCCCTGCAACAAACGGTCACACCCTCAGCCACGAGAGACGAAAGAAGTGGTAATCATGGTAAGCGTGCTGAGAATTTCTCAAAATTAAATCAAACCTGCTTACTCAAGAGTGATAAATCCTGTTATTGCCAATGTTGTTTGCTGACCTCTCTATTACAAGACTATTCTAATTTAAATTGTTGAAAAAATCCAATATTGATAGTAAATATTTAATATGGCAGTCATATATGTGGAAAAATTATAATTTCAGCATATGCAGATGTATGTTGGAGACTATCAATTTGTAGAATTATTCATTTTGAAGGATGTTACTCTTTTTTGGTTGGTTTGGAGGTTCACAGCTACAGTGAGCACCATAATTCATTGGACAGTGACACTTTTTGGTTTTGTAATTTACAGCTCTTGCGGAGTTACAGCTTCAATTTGAATGCTTTTTCATCCATATTGGATGAACCGTTTAGAAGGGACAGCACTTTTTTTTACACAGTGCCTGTCTTGCCTAATACTGGACTTTAGTTGTTCAGCTTTCTGGGGTCTGTTTTGGCATTCCGTTTTTCAAGTTTGAACTTCATAATACATAGATGTTTTCAATGGGGGACAGGTCAGGGCTGCAGGCAGGCCAGTCTAGTACCCACATTATGCTAATGTGAAGCTGTGCTGTTGTAGCAAGGACAGAGTGTGGCTTAACGTTATCCTGCAGGAACAAA